ATCGAAGATTAAAACGAGGAGCACACCATGGTTAGAAAGTTTAATGGTAATACAACATGATTTGAGTTGGTTTCGATGAACTGCACGAGGCCCGTTCTTTGAATTTTAGCCAATATATGGCTCCAACAATTTCCAACATTATAATGGGTTTTTTCAAGTGCTTTCTAGTGGAATTTTTTTTAGTAGTAATGCAGATAAACCATGAAATTTTTCATGGCATTATGGCACGGTCGGTCTGGACGAGAAAAACTCAAGGGTATACCCTTGGTGTATCGGTCAAAAACGAGTGTTGCGTTTAAACATGCATAACTTTTGGTAGAGGAATCCGTTTTAGGACCATGACCAGTAAAACTGAATCTTGGAACAAGAAACATGTCGTAATTAGGAAGTTTTGTGGTAATACAATATGGCTGAGTTTCGACAAACTACACGCGCGTTCATTCGACTTGGCCAATGCATGGCTCTAGCAATTTCTGACACGAGAACGTGTTTTTTTTCAAGTTCTTTCCGATGGAAAACATCTCATTGACATTGTGAATGAACCATGGAAATTTTCATGGTAATCTGGCACGGTCGGTCCGGACAAGAAAAAACCAAAGGGTACCCCTTGTTCTATAAGCTAAAAATGGGTGTTAACGCTTTAAGCGTGCATAACTTTTGCTATTGGACTCCGTTTTATGCCGCGACTAATTAATAGAAGTTTGGAACGAGAAGCACGCCATGGGTAGGAAATTTTATGGTAATACAACACAATTTGAGTGAGTTTCAAATAGCTGCACGATGCACGTTTGTTCGATTTGGCCAATGCGTGACTTCAACAATTTTTTGGCACGAGAACATTTTTTCCAGATTCAATCTAGTGGAAAACATCTCATTAACATTGTAGATGGATCATGAAATTTTTCATAGCAATCCAACACAGTCGGTCCAAATGAGAAAAACTGGAGGGTACCCCCTTATTGTGTCGACCTAAAATGGGTGTTAATACTTAAACGTGCATAACTTTATTATGAGATTCCGTTTTAGGTTCATGACTAGTTAATAAAAATTTAGAAGGAGAAGCATGCAATTTGGTGGGAAGTTTTGTGGTAATGCAACATAATTTGAGTGAGTTTCAACAAACTGTACAATACGCATTCGTTCGATTTGACCAATGTGTGGCTCCCACAATTTCCGGCACGAGAATGATTTTTTTTCAAGTTCTTTCTAGTTGAAAACATTTTATTAACATTGTATATGGACCATGGAAATTTTAATGGCAATCTGGCACAGTCGGTCAGGACAAGAAACAACCCAAGGGTATCCTTTTAGTGTATCGTCCAAAAATGGGTTTTAACGTTTAAACGTGCATAACATCTGCTATGGGACTCTGTTTTAAGCCATGACTAGTCAAATAAAAGCTTGGAATGAGTAACACACCATTGCAGAACGTTTTGTGGCAATACAATGTGATTTAAGTGGGTTACAATGAACTACACGACATACATTTGTTCGATTTGGCCAATGCATAGCTTCGACAATTTCCGGCATGAGAACAATTTTTTTCTCAAGTTCTTTCTAGTGAAAAACATCTCATTTACATTGTATATAGACCATGTAAATTTTCATAGCAATCTGGCCTGGTCGATCCGGACAAAAAAGTCCAACGGTACCCCCTTGGTGTATTGGGAAAAAGTGGGTGTTAACACTTAAACGTGTATAATTGTTACTACGGGACTCCGTTTTAATCCCATGACCAGTCAAATTTAATCATGGAATGAGGATCATGCAAAGGTTAGGAAGTTTTGTGGTTATACAACATTATTTGAGTGGTTTTCAATGAGCTGTGCGACTCATGTTCATTTGCTTTGCCAATCATTGCTCCAACAATTTACGGCACGAGAACAGTTTCTTTTCAAGTTCTTCCTGACATAAAGCATCTCATTAGCATTGTATATGTACCATTGAACTTTTCATGATAAGTTAGTACGTTTGATCCAAACGAGAAAAACCCAAGGGTACCCCCTTGGTGTATCGGCCAGAAGTGGGTGTTAATGCTTAAACGTGCATAACTCTTGTTATAGGACTCCGTTTTAGACCCATGACCAGTCAAATCGAATCTTTAAATGAGTATCATGCCAAGGGTAGGAAGTTTTATGGTAATACAACATTATTTGAGTGAGTTTCAATGAACTGCACGACTCATGTTCGTTCGATTTGGCAATGTGTGGTTCCAATATTTCCGGCATGAGAACGATCTTTTTTCAAGTTTTTCTGATGGAAAACATCTCACTAACATTATATATGCACCACAAATTTTTTCAGACACTTTGGCACGGTCGTTTCGGATGAGAAAACCCCAAGGGTACCCTTTGGTGAATCGATCAATAGTGGGTGTTATCACTTTATGCACAACTCTTGCTAAAGAACTCCGTTTAGGCACATGACTAGTCAAATAAAATATTGGAACGAGGACTGCACCATTACATGAAGTCTTGTGGTAATAAAACATGATTTTGGTAGGTTTCAACGAGCTACAAGATGCGCATTCGTTTGATTTGGCCAATGTGTGGCTCCAACAATTTCCGGCACGAGAACATTTTTTTCAAGCTCTTTATGGTAGAAAACATTTGGGTAACACTATATACGGACCAAGGAAATTTCAATGGCAATCCAACACGGTCGGTCCGAACGTTAAAAACCCAAGGGTAACCCCTTGGTGTATCGGTCAAAAGTGGATTTTAAAGCTTAAACATGCATAATGTTTGCAACAGGACTCTGTTTTAGACCCATGACCAGTCAAATCGAAGCTTAGAACGAGGAGCACACCATTGCATGAAGGTTTGCGGTAATAAGACATAATTTTAGTAGGGTTCGACGAATTACATGACGCGCGTTCGTTCGAATTGGCCAACACGCGGCTCCATCAAGTTCCGACACGAGCACAAGTTTTTTTAAGTTCTTTCTGGTTGGAAAATATCTCATTAACTGAAATTTCCTCTCCCAATATGAATATGTCAGATTGCCACAAAATTTTGAGGACTAATGTCATGATTGTGCGAATTACCTATCAAATTTATACTTCAAAGTTGTTTACTGCCTAGTCGATGAAATGCTTAAGATAAATTTTATTTGGTCTATTTTCTCAGCTTAGTCATATGGTGTTTGTTACAATATTTACTACCTTACGTATATAAAAAGCCTGGTTTTTGGTTGTGTTAAACTTTATTTTATCAATTGAAGTATGTATTGGTATTGAATTTATCATATTGTTGAAAGTCATGGAATGGGCAGACAACCATATAAATGGTTTCCACAGACAAACAACTTTTATCCATCTGTTTGTGTACTAAATTATATCTTGCATCATGAACATACATAGTAATACAATTTTTATCCATCTGTTTGTGCATTAATTCTAACTAGATGTAAAGTATGTACCGCCTTTTTGAGTTGTTCCCCGAGCCAGATCCCAGTTGGAATAGGCAAAACTCTGGACTCAAAGATAAGATCTGATACACGACCGGTTGGAATTTCAAGGACAGGGTAGTGGAAAATGGCATTGAGTTGAAACCAAAATTGAACCAAATCAATGAAATAATTTAGGGAAAATTGCACCAAAATAATGGAACCAACTTTCATCTAATTCTTATTTTGGGGAACCAACTTTCAAAATCGTCATTTTAGGGAACCAACTTGCACCTGATTCATATTTTGGGGATCCAACTTTTAAAATCGTTATTTTGGGTAACCAACTTGCAAAATAATTATAGAAAAATAACTAAAATTCGTTTTTTCCCAAAAATTAATGCAATAAAATCTATTTTTCATTTCAAATCTCGTTTTTTTTTGCCAAATTTGATTTAAACTTTAATATTGATACAGATTGGTTAGATATAAAAATCTTGAATGTGATATTTAATATTTATTTTTTATTGCATCAATTAACTTTTTCTATTAAATTGATTTTTTTTGCATTAGTAAAAAACAATTTTTATTGTGGTAATTTGGATTTTTTTTAAAATGTTCAATTTGATATATGAATTAAAAAAAAAAACAAGATTTGAAATGAAAAATAGATTTTATTGCATTAATTTTTAAAAAAAAAAACGAATTTTAGTTATTTTTCTATAATTATTTTGCAAGTTGGTTCCCCAAAATAAGAATCAGATGCAAGTTGGTTCCCCAAAATGATGATTTTGAAAGTTGGTTCTCCAAAATAGGAATCATATACAAGTTGGTTCCCCAAAATGACGATTTTGAAAGTTGGTTCCCCAAAATAGGAATCAGGTCCAAGTTGGTTCCCCAAAATGACGATTTTGAAAGTTGGTTCCCCAAAATAAAAATTAGGTAAAGGTTGGTTTCATTTTGATACAATTTTCACAATAATTTATATGTTTTTTTGTAATTAATATATCTGTAGAAATATATATCCAAGGTGGTTGTTTAATTCAACACACTTAACAAACCGTTATATTTCAACACCAAATCATATTTATATATAAGATTAAAATAGTAATTATCTACCATTAAAATTGTCCATTCAAACAAATGGCATTTGGCCTAATGGTATCATAGTCCTTAACCTTTTAAGAGGTCAGAGGTTCAAACCTCACCATAAATGAGAAGGGTGTATAAATTTATTTGTTGTATTTGTCGTATATAAATATTATATACTTAAAAAAAAAAATATCCATTCAAACATTTATTAAAGAACCATATTTCATATTTCGAACGTCTACTAAAACAATATGATTTTGGCAACCAAACGTTGATTAATTTCACTTCTTTCAGATTTTGGAGGGAACACGCCAAAAAAATTAGACGGTACCAAAATTGATCTCAACTCAACTCAGTAGCTTTCGAAAAAGGGCCCAAACCTTCAAAACGTGCTTCCACTTTTGAATCTGGCTAGGTTCACTTCTCGTTGATCATCTGCCAAGTTTCTTGTTAACTCCATTGTTTCAATCTGTCTCTGTTCTCAATCGAGTGTGTATGCGTGTTTGAAACCGGTGATTGCAATGCTACACGAACTTCTACTGGCACTATTGGGGTACACAGGAGACCTAATTGTTGATGAGAGAGAGCATCAATTATCTGTTGGATTGTCTCCTGATGAATCCATCTCCGATCGATGTACATTCAAGCTTGCTTCCGATATATCTTTTATTGAGCCCAGCGAAAGGTATTTCTCATCCTTTGCTATTTTTTGCTTTCCATTTTGACCCCCCAAAATCACTAGGGTTTTAGAATCTTAATCCTGTATTCCTGTTAATCAACCTTTTAAGATTAATGTATTGGCTAAGTGGTCATTTGGTTGGTTAAATCCAGCGGACTAGCAGAGCAGCAAGCATTTTGTTATTCCCTTCCCCCTAGAGATTCATCCATACTACAGAACAGAAATTTTTGGGAAGGAGAACATGACAAGCCTCAGTTTGATCCTTCTTAAAAGGAAATGCACATTTTGAAAATTACAGTTTTATACTTCTTTTTTCGATTGTTTAATTTTCTGGGTATGGAGCTAATTATTTTTTTGCTAATTCTACTGGTGATGATGAATGGTAACAAAGGAAGCGCACAACAATCGATTATTTAGAATTAGAGCTGCAAATGTTTCCTTTTTATGTGAAGGATAGATTATATTATGTCAATGCACATCGAGTCATGAAAATTTGTGACTGGCTAACACTTTGGCTGATAAGTGTCAATTATTATGTTGTTCTGGTCAAGCACCCAAAGACCTGGCCAGAAGGATATGCAAGGGCTTAAATCATAGGATATTCCCAAGGCATAAGAGCAAGTAGAGCAAGTGAAGAAAGAGGTTAAATCAGGCGGGCGGTAATTAGCTTTAGGGGTCTTAAGTTCCTACTTTACTCCAATTTATAGGTTGACAAGTACCGTTGCTCCATATCTCCTAGAAGAACCTTTTCGTGGTCTGTTGTGTTATAGAAAACTAATCCCAAATTTGATCTAGTAGTAAAAAAGACAAAGCATAGGGAGTCAGCTAGTCGAACATCAGTCATTCTAATAAAATGTGTACCTATATGGGTTAGTGTACTGGTTGTCATGCCTGCCTGGATTATTCTCAGTGGAGCCAAACTGTCATCCAGCTTCCTTTGCCTTCAGGAGTCAGGACTATCGCTACTTTACTCACATAGCTCTTATCTTGGGTCATGATTTAAGGGACCTGGCTTCTCTTCTTGGGTCTTATATCTGGCCTCTGGGGCTTTGTAAGTCATCCATTTTGGCCTGGATCCTCTAGGGTGGTATCATATTTTAAGTTTATAACACCTTCGACATTGTCTGGGAACTCTTTCAATTTTTCTGAAATTCATATTATTTGGACTGGCTTTCTTCTTTCTTCGTCCTTTTAAATGCGTAGTGGTGCTTATGAAATGCAGGGATATTATTGAGAAGATGATTACTTTGGGGTTCTATTATCGTGAACTTGATCGGTTTGCTACCAAGTCCCGAAATTTAAGTTGGATAAGGTCTGGGAATGAGGCTCCTATGTCACGCACTTCTGTGTTACTGAAAGAGAAGATGGAGAATCAGAGTGTTTATAGGAGGGCCATTGCTAATGGCATAGTGGAAGTTCTTTCTGTTTATAGATCTGCTGTTTTGCATATGGAGCAGAAGTTGCTATCAGATCCTCTTCCCATCTTAGCAACAATTAGTCAAGGCCTGAACAAGGTAAAGTTTTTAGATTTCATTGTATTCTGTTTTGGTTCCTGTTTCTGCTTTCTATATTTCCATCTAGAAAAAAAAAAATTTGGATCATCTACCACCATCATCATTATGCTTTTTCCTGCATCAGAGTAATGCTAGTATGATACTGCACTTCCAGATTATTAAAATGGATGTTCTAATTCCATGGAGACTTTATAGCAGATTTAGCTTCTGCTGCATAAAATGCATGCATATATTCTTCCATTTGCATTTTGATGTTCTATGAGCTCTAAATGATGGAATGTTATTGCAGTTTTTTGTTCTTTTGCCACCTCTATATGAGCTTATTCTAGAGATTGAGCGTGATGGCATTTGTGGAGGCCGACTTCTCAATCTTCTGCACAAACGATGCCACTGTGGGGTGCCAGAGTTGCAGACATGCACTCGGAGGTATTATATTCTTCTTATACAAAGTAGATGACAGAATGGAATAAAGAAAACTAACTATTAACTTCTTGAAATATTAGATATACAAGAATACATTTATCAGGGTTTTTTAATGCACTGATAATACAAAATGGTTATGAAGAACATTATGATCCTAACCTGTAATTTTTGTAGCCTTGAGATAACATACAGCTAAAAAAGCGTAAAATGTACAAATTGCCTATGTCACAGATTAGAAGTTACACATCAGCAGAGGCAGTTCATGTTTATTTATAATATAAAGATTTCATCACTGGGAAGTACCAGAACCTTGTTTGTTTATTCTACAGTGAATTTTCACATCACATGGTTGATGTGAGACCAATTTACTGCCAGGAGGGTTAGAGGGAGGGATCTTGTACTATGTTTTTAGCTGTTCAGTGTTTTTGTATTTGGCCTTACTGTCCTTGCCTGTTTTAACCTTTTTTCTTTGCTTATGTCATTTATGCCATTTTTGTCCTTACTGTCCCTCCCCTTCTAGACCCACCTTCCAGTGGGATATACTGGGTACGGGGCTGTTTGGTTTGTTTTCATTAAGTCCTGTATGAATAAAGCTATTCACGTGGATTGATCTGTCTATATATATTGGAAGGTTTTTGTTTGGGAGGGTTTTTTCATAGATTCCATGCTCATGCTTTTTAGAGGGAAGGGCAGGTTTGGAAAAAACTTGGCTTTCTGCATAAAGCTCCCCCCTAGAAGCTTACTGAATAAGCCACTTTCTATATAATTAAGCCACTATCAAACAGTCATGTATTGCTGGCCGAATAAGCTGTGAGTCTCATTAAACTCATTAAGCTGCTAACAAGCAGGCCCTAAGTTTGATTTGGCTATGTGGGATCAATCCCTCATACTTTTGGTAGATGTTTAGAGCTTTCCATATGAGCATGCTTATCTCCAAAATTTCAGCCTGAATGGCTAATAAACAACTGTTTGGTCTTATAGAAATACTAACCTTATAGTTATGTAGTCGTACAACAGAATTAATAGATGTCTTCAATATGTTGTAGTAACCGTAAGGTGGATGGTGTTGGACCTGCAAACTAATACCAAGAAAACTGTTTCTGTTGTGACAGACTTCTTTGGCACGGACATCAGGTCATGTACAATCAACTTGCTTCCTGGATGGTGTATGGCATTCTTCACGATCAATATGGAGAATTTTTCATCTGCGAGTAATAAGTCACCTATTTGTCTCACCTCACATTTAATACTTTAAAGATATGGCGGGATATGATCCTGTTGACAGCTGTCAAATGAGGATGTTGATTTTAATGTTTTTAGGCAAGAAGGAAACTTGGAGCGTGACTCATCCCATACAAACATGACTGAGAAGTTAGCACGCATGTCAGTTAATGATGGATCTTTAAGTGATTGGCACTTGGGATTTCATATCTCCTTGGTACTTAATTTTTTTATTCCACCATAGGTGATCATATATAAGATAATTTCAGAAGTTGATTTCAATGAAACATGAATAATTAACCTTTTCTTTTCTGCTTTATTCATGTGATGGAACAAGTTTCTTTTAAGTCTGAGGAACTGCTAATTTCCTACGGTCTCTTCCAGGATATGTTGCCGGAATATATTCCAATGCACGTGGCAGAATCCATTCTTTTTGCTGGAAAAGCAATCAGGGTTCTTCGTAATCCAAGTTCCGCCTTCCGGTCCGTAGATGCATTGTCTCATCAGGCAAGACATAAAAAATTGATGGGGGATGAACTACTGCCACAATCAGAGGCTGATAAGATTGAATCGATGCTTAAAAATCTGAAGGTCCTAATGCTGTTATAAAGATTATTATTGCCACCCTCTTTGTTATTGATACCCTTCTTTATGAAGTATATAATATTTATATATGGCAAATGCAACAAATAAACTCACACACCCTTCTCACCTTCGGTAAGGTTTGAACCGCTAGGCTAAAGACCCTTTGGTTTGTTATTGGTATCCTTAAAGGGCACTAATATATGCTGTTATTTCTCAGCTCACGTATTCCACTTGCTTTTTCAGTTCACTTACAAGTTTTTTCTAACCTGTTGATTTCAATGCGGTGCTCTTTTTCCCACCTTCAAGTTTGTTCTTTTTTGCCAGGAATCATCTGAGTTCCACAAAAGATCATTTGAGGGAGCTGTTGATTCAATCAGGGCTATTGCTGCAAGTCATCTTTGGCAGGTAGAAATGTTTGTATATTTTTCCTCATCTTTATAGTTCAACTTCAGCTAATATCCACGGAACATTTTTAATTCATGCATGCAGCTTGTGGTTGTGCGTGCTGATCTAAATGGGCATTTGAGGGCCATCAAAGATTACTTTCTTCTAGCAAAAGGTGATTTCTTCCAGGTAATGGACGAACAGTTTCTAGTGTTTTATTTGTGTTTTGCACTTTTCTGGTGCTGCGTTTAAACATGGCCCTTTATCAGAATATTATCAAATACCAAGTGAACAAAATAAAATCAGCAAGTTTCGTAGGCTACACGTTGCATTAAATTGGAGCTCTGTTAAATACATAGATATCCTTTTTTTCCAGGCGAAGGATCGTATGAGAATAAGAGTTAAGCCGAGAAGCTTAAGAAGGGATCTGGATCCTTGATCATTTTTAATCTCACCCCCACCTCCACGAATGCTTATCATGGGAATTGGTCCGGTGCATCTCGATGCACTGCATAGTGTTGATCTTCAATTATGATTGATGCAAGGGTCGAGATCCCTTCTTACGCTTCTCACCATAACTTCCATTATTGCTGGAACCCAACCCTTTTTTGAAAGGCCAAATATATAGATATCCTTGCTACAAAATACTAGGGTAATGCTAAAAGACCTAAATGTTGAGTACAAAAACAGACCCCGTTTTCCCTTTTTCCAAAAAAAAAAAACAGACCCCATTTTTCGTGTTTTCCACCACTTACACACTCATTTTCTGCCTCATGAATCTGTATCTTCTTCTATCTTTCTGATTTCTTAGCAGTACTTTCTTTGTAAGTTTAATAAGATCTGAATTGTATGATTAGAGTTTTCTTGAGGAGAGCCGTCAGTTGATGCGTTTACCCCCTCGGCAGTCAACTGCTGAAGCTGACCTTATGGTTCCATTCCGGCTGGTAATTTTATTTTCTGTTATCTATTCTCTTTATTTTTGTAATATATGTCAGCAGCACGACCAATTTATTTTAAATATCTACACATGGTGCGTAGATTGAAAGAAGTATGTATACTTGTAATGCAGGCGGTAACAAAGACTATCAGTGATGATGATAAATTTTTTTCAAGAGTGACGTTGCGGTACGTACTGCACTTTTTTCTCTATAATTCTGACTAGAAGTAGGTTTGTTATGGCTCTTGTAGTGTAGGTCTTGTATGCAATCAAGTAATTTACATTTATAACCTTTGCCAGGATGCCCGCTATTGGGACTAACATTAAATCTTCCAAAATCGATGTATCAAAGTCCAAGTATGCTGATGGCGATTCGAGTGTGCTATCTGATTCTTTGCTGGAGATGTCTCTAGATGGCTGGGATGGTATTGCCTTAGAATATTCTATTGATTGGCCCTTGCAGTTGTTCTTCACACAAGAAGTTCTCTCAAGGTATGTTTGTCTCCACAAATTCTTTCTTTTTCTTTGAAGTTTTGACATTTTTCCCCTTATGTCTCTTTTGAGATGACATTTTGAACCCATTTGTCCCAAATGAAATGAAGTTTTAACTTTTAAAGCAAATTTTATACCTTGATCCTTGAGAATCAGGTTCATATGAGAATAGTAACCAAATAAGAGAATAAGAAAATAGTCGAATCACATGTGATTCATGCGACTTTTAGGTCGTGGGCCACGTCACTAAAACACCCTTATGTTAACCATTAGTGTAAAATCACATGTGATTTTGCACATGATTTAGTCGTTCTGGTGTTCTCTTATTTGTTTACTGTTCTCTTTTGAACCTCCCTCATACCCTAAATCTGTATCTTCTTGTTTTATATGTCTTACCCGAACTGATTGCATTTCAGCATTTCCCGGTTGTTGATTCTCGTAATCGTCTATTTTTGTTAGTCATAGATCATTCAAAAACTGTTCTATAAAAATCCATCTAAATAAGTGTATCCTTGTGGAAGTAGTTGCTTGTGGGTTCATTTATTTTGAGATGGAGTATACATTTTTTAAAGCAACATAACCTACGACCATTTATGGGCAGGTATCGTAGGATCTTTCAGTATTTACTCCGATTAAAGCGGACACAAATGGAATTGGAGAAGTCATGGGAATCGGTAATGCAGCAAGATCACTCAAATTTTTCTAAACGCCATACTGAACGTGTAAATGGCTCCACATCTCAACAGAGACGGCAATGCTTTAGACCTATGTGGCGGGTTCGAGAGCACATGGCATTCTTGATTAGAAATCTTCAATTCTATATCCAGGTATGAGAGCATTCTTGTTTCTGTAGTTCCAAGCACCCTAGAGATTCCTTAGGGGGCGTTTGGTTCGATGAATAGAATTCGAATGAAATTTGACCACACATTTAATTGGTAGGAATTGAAATGGAATCTCTTAAAAGAATCGGAATCTTTATCTTTGTGATACTGACAGTAGTAGCATGGTTGTGGTGGGGGTAGGGGGTGCGCGATGTTTAAATTAGATGGAAGGGGATGGAATTCAATTCCTTCACTTATGCCAAGGAAGATGAATTCATTAATTTGTTCAATAGAATTCAAAGGATTCCTACATTTTTAACATGTAAACTAAAAAGGAATTGAAATTTGGTCAAATGAATTGATCATTCCAATTCCCTTGAATTCCGTGAACCAAACAACCCCTTAGAATCTAATTTTCGTTATTGCTGGGAATTCACTGTTACATGCCATGTTCAGGTGGATGTGATAGAATCGCAATGGAATGTATTACAAACTCATATAGAGGAATCACGCGATTTTGCAGAGTTGGTAGACTTCCATCAAGAGTGAGTCATAATTGAATTCTTTCTTGCATCTTGTTTTTATGGTCTAGTAAACAATTATAAATACTCCCTCCGTCCCAAATAAATATCCATGATAGAAAAAAGCACACAGTCTGCAAAGCTTAATGAGCTTAATAGACAAACAACTTATTCGATATTATACATGACTATTTGGTAGGATATAGAGAGTGGCTTGTTCCATAAGCTTTTAGGGATGAGCTTTATGCAGAAAGCCAAGTTTTTTCCCCCAAAACCTGCCCCTCTCCATTAAAAAACACACTCCTCCCGTGAGTCCCGTCTATGAAAAAGACCTCCCAAGCAAAAGCATTTTCAATCTAGACAAATAGATTAATCGACAAAGATAGTTTTATCCATACAACACTATAATGGAAAAACAACCAAACATCCCCTTCGAAATGTATAATTATTACACCTTTTAATTAACTAAATGACAATTTTATCCATAGTAATACAGGGAGGAATGAATTGATAAACTTGATATTTTGCTTGAAATTTGTTGTAGATACTTGTCAGCATTGATATCGCAATCATTCCTAGATATTGGTTCCGTATCAAGAATATTAGACGGAATCATGAAGCTTTGCTTGCAGTTTTGCTGGAAGATCGAGAACCAGGAAAGCAATGCAAGCACCATTGAACTCGAACGTATAACTGAGGTCATTTTCATATCTTTTCTACTTTACGTTTGTTTGTTTGTTTGTTTGTTTGTAAACCGGTTAAATTTACGACCTTTCTTCAGCATATTGTGTTAAGATCACGTGTTACCTTCTACAGGAATTCAACAAGAAGTCAAATTCCTTGTACACGATATTGCGTAGTAGCAGGCTCGCGGGCAGTCAGAGAGCCCCTTTTCTAAGGCGTTTTCTTTTGCGTCTAAACTTCAATTCCTACTTTGAGGTAATAACTATGGGAGGCTTTCAGAATTTATGTACTCACTCTGTTCCAAAATAATCGTTTACACTGAAAATGTACACGACATGTGTAATTATTACAATTTTACCCTTGATAATTGAGGAGTAATGAATTTCTCCAATCCATTATTAAGGGTAGGATTGGAAAGTAAAAATGGATACTTATTTTGGGACAAAGTAAAATAGAAATGTGGACACTTATTTTGAGACAAAGGGAATATTATATCGGAATTTAGGTTTATGACTTGTCTTTAATGTCAATAGCAAACCGCCCAAGGAGTTATGAATGTCATCCGGCCACGCTCAACAATCCCGGTCCTGAAACGGTGATATGCAAACAGGTACCGGCATTTGTTACAAAAATTAAAATACTTATTCTATCGTATAAAGATCGCAATTAGGGCACGGTTTTAGGGAAGTAATTCTAAGTTGATTGTAATGATTACAACATAGGAACAAGTAATTGTAACTTGAAATCTTTCTAAATATAGAAATGGTATCATTTTCATGGGATTCTAAAGGCCAAAATGTTGGTGTGATGTAATAGGTTATGTGTATTCATATGAAGAAATTGAGAAAAATATTTATTTTGAGTGATTTTACATTGGTAAAATAATTGTCCACTTTTAAAAGTAAATGTCTTTTATTTCATTTTATCCTTGGTTAAGAGGTGTAAAAAATTTCTATATCTATAATTAAGGGTAAAATTGTCTTTTTGTTAATTAAAAAAAATATAGTAATTACATTTTCTTAAAACTGTGTTTTTGTTTCTAAACTGTATAGTATTTATATATGATAAATACAATATATAAACTCACACGCTTCTTATATTTAGTGAGGTTTAAACCCCTTATCTCCTAAAAGGTCAAAGGTTTCGATACCGTTAGGTCACACGTCCTTGGTCAATTGTATGTTTTTTTTTTATTGTGAGGAAGTATTAAATAGCATATACTTTTTAATAATGCAGATATCTTAAAAGTCAAGGTTACTACTTACCGGTTATTATAGCCTGTTAAAATTTCTTATGACTTACTGAATACCATAAAATTAATTGACAATTAACTGATAAACACAATCAGACAGTTCATCATTATCCTTATAAAAAAATATAGCATGTTATTTTTATTTTTAAATCTACAATATTTAAATTATAATAAAATTTTGAATTAATCAATTTAATGAGAATTTTTGTCTTTTTATGGTAGCTCAAAATCAATAATAATGAACAAGTTTGATGTTTGAATTGATTTAGAGCTCCTCAAATCCTTCTTCATCGCCTTCTCCCTCTATCCTCTCAAATTCTCTTCTCCAATTCTCCATCTATCAGGTTTATACAGTAGCATGTAAGCACTTCCCTGCTTTTACAATTTGCATATATAGAGATATCACATGAGACCAATCTGTTTTCATGAGACCACTTTTTTACTCTTTAAATTTCAAAGCAAAACACAATGTTTTTGCTGTGAAGGTTCGCCTTTTTTTTTTCTTCCCTTCACAGTGTTTTGCTGTGATGTTTCAAGTGTAAAAAGGTGGTCTCACGAAAACATGTTGGTCGAACCTTCACAACAAACACACTGTGAAGGTTACTTTCATATTGCTGTGAAGTTTCAAGTGTAAAAATATGGTCTCAGGGGTCCCAAGAAAATGGTCTCACATGATCCCAAGTCTATATATATATATATATATATATATAGAGAGAGAGAGAGAGAGAGAGAGAGAGAGAGTTTCAAATACAACTCATCGCATTTGTACAACCAATGCAACCCAATAAATTGAGATATTTATGGAAATGATGAGTTCATTTATTATGATTTGAATATTTATGGAAGATGAATATGGTTCAATAATTATGATCAATACTTTATATTAGGAAACAATCAAAACTTCTATGAAATCACATGTTAATCAAATGAAATGGACAGTTGGTTGCACAAATATTAAGGGTTGTATGATAACCAACCTCTTTCTTTCTCTCTCTCTCTCTCTCTCTCTATATATATATATATAAAAACAGGAACATCTTCATTCCTTAAATACATGAGAACACCCTCTTTGAAACTGTGATCCATCATATGTGAAACTAAAACGGACATAGGTAACCTTTGGTGCAATGTAGATCATAGGCCAAGTCGCCCACACACACCACCAGGTCACCTCGTATATTATCATATGCGATATAGGTGTTCTCGTAAAACGAAGACATTCTCTGTGTGTGTGTATGCAAATCAAATGCAACCAATGCAATTTAATCCTAACCGTAGACCATCCCCATTTTTAAGGAGTAATTTTCGTTTTTTTTAAAAGTAATCGTCTTATCCCAACCGTTGATTGTTTAATTGTGTGGTATAGATGAAGTTGTATTGGCTACAACATTTAAGCGGGTGGCATTTGATGAGCCCTCTATATATAAATATATAGGGTTGGGTTACGGTGAGAAAGAGAGTTAAGACAAGAAGCTTAAGAGGGGATCTTCACCCTTGGATGCACATTAGGATGAGATGCACCAGATCAATCCCTGTATCAAGTATGATTCATGGGTGTGTTTGAGATTAAAGGTGATCAAGGGTCTAGATCCCTTCTTACGCCTCTCGCCTTAACTCTCTTTCTCACACGATTCTTCACCTATATATATATATATATATATATATATATATATATATAAGAGAGAGAGAGAGAGAGAGAGTGAGTGAGGTTCATGTGAAATCCCCAGAAAAATGAAAAACCGAGGAACATCTTAATAATCATTTATCTGTACGGTAATATACATGTGCATATAGGTAACTCAAGATATTTCTTGGTTTCTATGCACATATATATACAATAAAGAAAAATGGTTATTATGGTGTTATTTAGTATTTTTTTACAGCACATGTACCTGATCATCGGAAAATTGTAGGTGTTCTGCAACAAAAAGAAAGTTATTAGGGTCTCCTGGCAGCTGTTGTTGAGCAAGGTTTGATGCAACACCATCATACCCTACTATTCGCACTCGAAAACCATAACCCATGAAAACCTCATCCACCCACTTCTCCACAGGGGGCTGTCAGTCAAAGAAAGCCATTAAAACCATAATATAAACATATATATATATATATATACACACACACACATATATATATATACACATTTAGGGAGGTTCAGGGAAAAACCTCAAACACATGAAAAACTGAAGAACACCATGGTAAGCGTTCATTTGGACCATATGCACATGTACATATAAGTATTTGAAGCGGTTTTTTGATACAGTCCAGATAACGGTCCTTGGTTTTTCATTCTTTTAAGGTTTTTTTCTTGAACCTGACCCTGTATATATAAAAGGAGAATTAGAGTATACCTTCATCCCGACTTCAACAGGAAGTTCACCCAACAACAGGCAACCCTTCATGCCTAAATTACCAACCATTGTCAGAATCTCTTTAAAACTAGCCAAATTTGCCACTGGAAACCCCTATATATATAAACAAAACGGGTGAAGGTGTTTGCAGTAAATAATGCACATATTTACCCAATAAAATCCCTAAGGTCCTATTTCATTTTGGCCCATTAACATTAATCTTTTTAAAGCCATGAGAATCAATTATTCATAATGAATATACCTAGGGTTCTCACGGTTTTCAAGCGAACCCACCATTTTAATCTCAACGAGTCCCGTTTACATGGCATTAAAATAATAAATATATTATTTGGGGTCTCGTCAACATTATGCGAGTCCCAGAAAAGTAAATAAAAGAATGACCCGATGCAGTAAAATTGTGTAAGTGGGAGCATCTCATACAACAATGCTATAATTTTTAAATTCATAATCCCAATACACTTTCAAAAAAACTTTATAAAAAATTATAATACATTCAACCTAATTGGTGGAAACAATTATAATAATATGTTTATCTCCTCGATATATTAAGTTTTAAACGTTTCTCAAAATTTTGAGATCTCTACCTTCTCTCTTTTTTTAATCTATTTTAGCACACACTTTAGCTTATCTATTTGGAGATTTCTACCTTAGCATAGCTGTTGGAGATGCTCTTAAATGTTACAGAAAAATGAGAGAGAGAGATGGCTGTTCACCTGGAACACCCATATACTTGGCCTGCAACCGTTAAATCCTTTATCACGTAAAACTTGTTGCATATCAGACGACTCCAAAGGAACATGAACCAGCAAACAACTTCTTGGAATTTTAGCACCAACATCTAACAATTTCTAAAAAAAACATCATCAGGACATTTTTGGTTAAAAACCGTTGCTCAAAATCAAGCAGGAATAACCATATGCATACAGAACACAAAGGTATACATTAAGTTATGCCATCGACACATGAATATCCACTAAGGGAACAGAAATATATAGAAGAGCACAAAAGACCAACAACTATACAGGCACATGCAAACACATGGAACATTGAGATTGGCAGGGGTCGACCCATAATTTTTTTCAAAGCAGTATCACCATTTGACAATAAGAGTGATAAAATTTTCAGAAATCATAATAAATCAGTAGGTTAGTTTGTTTGCATTTGTAAGGGAGGGTCATAGGTTCAGCCCTTCCCACAACCGCTTTCCTTCATCTTTAAAAAAAGACTGTAGAAACCCAAAATTAAGAGCTGAAAAGCAGGAAATTTTCTAAAACTGGATTCGAACCCAGGCCATTTCAAACAAATCCCACCACTTGGACCAATTCAGTCATCACAAACTTTTGTTGTAAGTTTAGTTTTAAGAGAAATAGGGGCACACAATGAAACATAGCAGTGACACCCTTCAAGAACAATATTAACCATGAACCATGTGTTCCCACATAGAGCCGTGTGATGGAAACCTTCCCGCACGGTTCGTAGAGCACTGAATTAGAATGAGAGGTTACCCCTGGAGATTGGCATGCTTAAAGCATGATGGTTACGTCCATGGTAGCAAGAAACAACCCTAAAGCACATGGGGTATTATAACTTGGTACAAGTAGGATTCTAACTCAAACAGAGAAATGATAACTGAAGATGGATAAAACTTCAAAGTCCAATTTGGGTTTTAGGAACTGACAAAGACTTCCTAAATGACTAGAAAGCAAGACATCATAACTACGATCTCTGATTGATAGTAGAAGTAGAACACTAGAAACTTCAACAATATACAATCTAATAACTAATGCCATTGCAATAGCTCTGATTTCTACATAAACCAACCAAACAAAACCAGTAAATTTCACCTAGATGCAAGTGTCCGAGAGAGAGGTAGGAAGTGTGTGGGGCCTTAAGAGACATATATCCGGAGGTGGAGTATGGAGGGGAAGATGTATGCAGACCTGACCTACTCTCAAAGAGTAGAGCGGTTGTTTCGTCGAAGACCCATACTTGTGAAAAATGAGAGAGGGAGAGAGAGAGAGAGAAGTAAAAATGTGAAGACCAGCATATATTAGATTTCTTCAGAATGCATCTGAAAAATTCATTGGAAAGTTACGAACCTTTGAGCTTTTCAGATGCTTTCTTGAATACTGCTTGGGGTGATACATCATAGATTACAGTTGAGGAAGGCCAATTAAGCCGATAAGCCCTAGTATCCATTCCATCTGTAAATAAAACAACCTGCAAAGATGTAGCAAAATGATGGGTAATTCAGCAAGTTACGTAATATATTTGGAAGAATAATGAATACCTGTTTAGCCCCATCAACGCCCTTAGTTACACTAAGCAACTGATCATCGATAAATCTAGTACCAATGCAGTAATGATGCATCTTCTGCTTCGTAGTTTCGTCTAACTCAAGGTTAGGAGGCACAAAGCAGCCAGCGTACGGATCGACGAAAAGAGGCTCTGCGTTATTCGGCCAAAGTTCAAATCAATTGAAGAGGAGGTTGATTATAAGGTGTTTGATAAAATGCCTAAAAGCTCATTTGAGAATAAGGTGTTTGATAAAATGCCCACAAAAGGAGTTTGATAAAATGCCTACAAGCTCATTTGAGAATAAGGTGTTTGATAAAATGCCTAAAAGAGATGGGCGTCTTACCTGGACGAAGGGTTTCATGGAAACGATAAGAAGCGCGAGAAAAGGCGGACTGGAAGAAAGGGTGATCATGGTCGCCATCTTCGTGGATGTTGGATTTCGCCGTAACTTTTAGTCCGCCATTTTTGTTGTTTCTTCGACTTGAATTGTTGGTTGATTCCCAAAACAGAGATTGGTGTCGAATAAGAGGTGGTGTGGGCAGAAAACAACGTACCAGAAAGCATCTGATTTCCATGAGAGCTTCTTAATCCTATCTGCTTCCTTTTCCTATCCTGGTTAAGTGGCAAAAAACACTAGGTTCGTTTGGTTTATGATCTTGTTCAATACTCTATTTTACATACAGGTATAGATCTTGTTCATCATCTTCGATTTTGTTCGTTTCTGGGTTTGTGTTCCTCATCTTCGATTTTGTTCCATTTTGGGTTTGCGTTTATCATCTTCGACTGTGTTAGGGTTTGTGCTCATCATCTTCGATTTTACACACGGGTATCAATCAGTTTGTTTTTTGTTCATCACCGCTTGGATGCACCGCTAGACTCACTGGATCGCATCCGTATAGAGAGAAGACGATGGAGAGGGAGAGACCGAAGGAGATGAAGAAAGGGATGTGGTGAGAAGATATGGAAAGAGGCAGGGAGAGGTTTTTATTTTTTTTAACATTATTAATGGAAAGAAATCATCAATAATATAATAGAAGTAGGATTTTGAATTTCATTCAAATCTTGTTTGGGAGAAAGCGTGGATTTTAATGGAATCCCACAGCTGAATGATTTAGAAAGCTTTTGAAGATTAAACACGAATTTCAATTCTTTCCATTATATTTTTATCATGTCTATTCCATCAAATCTACCCAAATCTGCAGTTAGATCCGGAACATCTGGTTCCCTAGAAATACGGTTTCGACAACCATTAAGAAAATAGACTTGTCCGGGTTTGTTCATTAAAGTTAACGAGCGGATTACAATGTAAAAATAAATATGGACAGGCCAGACCAGCCTGTTTATATTTTATAATTAATATTTTTTTATTTCTTTTTTCACTTGTTGAGATCCATGTATCACTAGTTGTTTAAAATTTCAATTGCAACGGTGTTTTTTCTTTACTTTTTGGTTATATATTTGTTAATTAATTGTTAGTGATCAAGTTTATAGATTTATAAGAATTATATTTTTTAGGCCCATTAACCTATAGGCAAGCCCGATCCATTTATAGGGTGGACAATGACAAGTTATCAAACCCAAAAAAAAAATTGAGTTTACAATATTAGGTTTGTTGGAGAAAAAACAAGTTAGACCCAGTCCGGATCTAGCTCGGGACTGCAATCGATCACCTTTACTTCATATATATCCATCTCTTACATAAACAAACAAATATTTATAAAAAGTTTAATTTAATTTCAAAAAGAAATTATAACATATTCAAAATGGGTTAAAAAAGAAAGGCGTTTTTTCGAAGAGGATCAAAAGGATATATGAAAATTAATTTTCATCTAAATTCTATAAACCAAACATACTGAACAATAAATAAATAAAACCTTTTCTGATTCTAAATCTTGAACGAAATCCAAGTCCTATAATAACATTTCATCAAACCAAACAAGCCTAAAGAAAAATTGCAATAGGAATCTACAATCCGTTCCTGACCCGTTTAAGCCTCCCATCTCCAACCCTGTACCAGCTAATTCCTTACGGGTTGGGTAAAAAAAGGTTCTATTTTGAAAATAAAATTATAATGAAATTAACTACCAATATGGAAAATCAAAATATTACGTCATTCAATAATAAACGTATAAAAAATTTAGTCAGTATGAAAAAAAAAAACCACGACCCAACTTGTACAATTTTCATCTCTATTTTTGTCTTTTTGAAAGCAATTCTGATATTTGATCAAAAAGAAATCTATAAAAATTACAAGTTATTTTATCAAAGAAAGTACCAATTCGATAAGCAAACAATAATTCAGAAAATTCAAAATCTCGTGAGAAAATGATCCCATAGAAGTGAAATGAAGATGAGTGCAAAAGCACCTAAACTCAAAAACTCTATTACATTACTGTTCTGAATGGAAGAATGAAGAAAAGACTGATATAACATACGTCTAAAAAGCCAAGCCATCAAAAAAACATAAAACCGAGGTCGAATTCCTGCTCAGTCTTCTTCTTCGCCCTCATTCTCAGCGATGTTGAAATAACGTAACTCGTACACGTTACGGTCTTTGTTAGAAGCAATCACTCGAAGCCAATCCCTCACATTGTGTTTCTTCAAGTACTTCTTTGTTAGGTATTTCAAATACCTGAAAATAATTGAAGGATAAGCAACTAACAACCACCATTGAAATTAGCTAATTAAAAAGCAACTATAAACGTTTATAACCCAAGGATTTGGTTCCAATGAGAATTATGATAAGAATAAATCTCATCTTTGGATCAATCCCATTTGAAGAGTTCCACTAGATCAACACTAATGAGAAGCACCAGATTAAGTTTTTTCTAAAGCACAATTCATCGGTTGGTTTGAGATTAGAAGTGATCAAGGGTCAAAATCCCTTATTACACTTCCCACATTAACTCATATTCTCACTTGATCCTTCGTCTATAAGCTAAAGAGTAATTTTTAAACTATATGCACCCCTATTTATGTCGGAATCAGGTCAAATCATGCATTACAAATGTAAAAAAGTAAACTTGATGTTGAGGTGTGTGATAAGAAAATTAGTAGGTATGCATTTCGCAATATGTAACAAGTACATTTAGCCCACCCCTTTTTTAAATGGGGTGGGCTAAAAACACCTTGTACATTGCTAAATACAACCTACTAATTCCTTCCTCAAACACATCAACATCAAAGTATACTTTTTACATCCTCAATGCATGACTTAACGTGATTTTGACATTAGGAGTGCACATAGCATTAACCTTTTTAAATACCTCATCCTTCCCAAAAGGGTAAAATTGTCATTTAATTAAATTAAAAAATAAATGTAATAATTATACAGGGTTGAGTTCCGGTGAGAAGGAGAGTTAAGCGTAAGAAGGGAGTAACTATTACAAGGCAGTATCATATTGTAGATGATTGTAGATCATTTATTAAGGGTCTGTTTTTTACCTTTATATTATTAAGGGTAAAATTGTTGAGCAAATTTAATATTATAACGATTACAATATATTTAAAAGTATGAACATTTATTTTGGGACGAAGGGTGTAACTAATACAAGGCAGTATCATTTTATAAATAAGTGTACCAATTTGCAAAGGGCAATATTATAAAAGCATGCTGTTATCACATTTAACAACCATATTACAGTAAAAATGAAGCCAAGATGTCTGTTTTTGACCAATATAAAATTCTAAGTTTCTAACAATGGAATAAAGAAGATCCTCAATACAACCGGATTGTGTATATGTAATGCCCCAAATCCAAAGTAACAGGGTAGCCGAATAACTTCTAGTTCAACTTATAACTATGGTGAAAGTTACTGGTAGCCGACAACTAGAGTATCTATCCTCTTTAGCTAGATGAGTAATCAATTCTATCGCTGTTTAATGCATTGTTGGCTTTGTTAAAAAACACTAAAAACCTCTTGATAAGAGCGCTTGAAGTTTGATAACCTAAGTAACAACACAAAAGTGAGAAATCAAGAAGTTACTGTAGCGTTCCAACGGATTCTCTATAATTTCTCTAAAATAGAGAACTAAACGTTCAAATCTCTAAAATGTTACACTCAACTTCAACATATTCTCAATTTGAAAGACCGGTAATATTTGGGTTCACTGCAATTACAACACTTGTATATTATCTGAGGCTTAAGTTCAAATCTCTAAAATATTACACTAAACATATTCTCAATTTTAAAGACAGGTAATATATGGGTTCACTGCAGTTATAACAAACACTTGTAAATTATTTGAGGCTCAAGTCTAAAAATGCAAGATAAATGGCTACACTATACAATGGGGTATCATCAACTTATATTTACTAACAGAAATCAAGGCCTAATGCATATACAATCATGCTAATACCTAAAGTTACCAATTAAGATCGACATCTGATGCATACACAAACAAAGCATTGTCTGAAATTTGACCTCATAACCATATCTACAAATATGTCATTACACATTAAGAACCCTAAATATGCGTGTAGAATTAGCATGTTTTCATGAATATCATTAACACAGCTAACCAGAAGCATCAAGTGTTAAAAGTATGATTTGAAAATCTACAACCTATTGAATAAAAGAGGAACTGCAAGACAAATAAGAGAGGCATTGTGCCAGTTCTATGATTCAATAGCTCGCAGTAGTTGTGAGATGTGGCAGTTATCGAAATTACGCAAATCAACAAAACCGATTGGAGTTTTGTGAGAATCAAGTAGAATACCTTTTGGAGAAGTTGCTATCGGAGGTGACGGATATCTTGTTCTTTTCACGTGAAATTGTAACAGAGTCTCCGAGATTACCAGCCTTGCCGCCAACCTTGATTCTCTCCTGAAGGAACTTCTCAAGCGATGCGATTTCCATAATCTTGTCCTCAACAGGCTTCCCGCAATCAATCACGAACGTCGCTCCCTTCTTCTTTCCGCCCTTGGCTCCCGCACCTCCTGCTCCACGACTCATCTTGGCTTCTCTCCTTCACAAATCGAAAACAATTCAAAGAAACAAGCAATCAGAATACTCCATTGACATCTGTAGATCCTAAATCGATCACATACATGGAGATATAAAGAAAAACGATGCGCATACCTCTAAATTCGAAGACGGCGAACTGCAACTGGAATGAGATGAATTGGTGCAAAGCGAAGAGAAGTCCTTTTAGGGTTTTAAATTAGGTTATTCAACAGACTGGATCAAAGCCCGGGTTTTGCTTTTAAAGATCCGGCCCGCAAATTGAGCCCAAGTTTGTGAGCATCTAACCCAATATTTCTTCTAAATTGGGCTATAATGGTTTTCATAGTCTCCTGGAAAAAGGACCTCTGCCTCATTGGGAAGCCGGAGATTTCCTGTAAATCCGAGAACAGAAATGGAAACAAGGATCGCCAAAAGTTAATAACCAAGGATTAGGACAGGGTTGGTGACGTGATCCAATCCCAACCCGTTTCGTCCCTTAGATGAAATAAAGAATTAGATTTAATATCTTTCAGATTTAGAAAAAACGTTTTTCACATTTCTTTTTATATACATTTTTTTCTAACTTGTCTAGTCTTTTAGATAAAAATATAAAGAGACGAAAGCGTTTGATCAAACAATTACGTATGTTGTTGTGATTTTGTTCACATATGAATATTTGATATTCCATAAGAGAAAACTTTTGAAAATATGTGAGATTTAAACATGGACTGTTTTAGATTGAGTGTGGTGCTTTAACATATTTGATTTAAAAATATGTCACATAAACGGGTAAAAGGCAATCTTCATCCCCGTTGGAGACGAAGATGGAGATATGATCATATTCTCCAACAGGGACGGGGGCAGGGATTGATGATCCAGGTCGGGGATGGGGATTGTTGACCCCTATCCCTTTCCCATTCCTAAGCTCAATCATGTCCAGTCTTGTTTGATCGGGTTTGGGTATCAAAACGTACTTTACTGCTATAAACATGACCAAATATAAAATTTTAATCGATTATTCAACCATAAATATTACTGTCATTTTAAACTATTATTATCGTCTTGATTTGTAAGACTTTTAGTATAATACATGGTATAAACATTTTATATTTTATTTAGTTTATTATTTGTTCTGTCAATCTATATTCGTGTTACGAATGTAACAAAGCCTCCCAAAAGTTTGGAATACACCTATATATATATATATATATATGTGTGTGTGTGTGTGTGTGTGTGTTGGGGGGGGGGGGAGCCTTTTACACACCCACATACATATGATAAGATGAACTAAGAGCAAGTATATTATTAGCCCAATATCGTCTTTCAAGTAATAAAGTGATATAGAATACCGAGTATCGTTCACAAGGATCGTGGTAAAAGCTTAATAAAAGTATAACAAAATAAATTATTTCAAATGGAGTTTTGAAGACTTTGTTTGGTTGTTGAGTTAACAGTTGCAACTAACGGAATAAAGAAATGTAGCATGGTTGTAAGACTTGTGGTGAGACCAACACACAAATTCCAACGGACAATGTAGTAGAGATACTAAAGCAAACAATCAATCATAACCAGTTCCACCATTTATTTTGAGGGTACTCCTCCCAGATTTCACATTTGCACTAATATTATAGCTTTCAACTTATATCTTTATGTGGTATTGGAATCAGTAATAGTGTCAGATGATGTCCTCAAAATATATGGATAAATAAGTCTGTTTATTAAAAATCACTCTCTCGAGCCGATTTTCATGTGTGTTTTAGGTAGTTCATCTCTGAATCTACTGCACTATAACACTCTAGCAAGTGATCAACCCATCGAGAATTAATTAGTCTGAAATATAAATGACAAATATCTTTGTTAGCAAATCTCTCAACTCTACTTCTCATATCATTCAAATTGACAAGTATTCAGTGGCTTATCTCTAAGACCACGACACTCTAACACTTTCAAAGTCATCAACTCCTCAAAAAGTGTCATTGGTTTTATAAACTTGAATGAAATATTGGAACATTGTTATTGCGAAACAATGTCCACCTTCATTTGGTTTAAAATAGCACCTTTTATCTCACACCCAGAATAATAGAATTAGTAACTCATTACTGAAGGTAATTTGCAAGAAATGTAATTAACATAAAGTAAATACATGGATTTAGATGACATAAAGTAAATGACTTGAATGTAAATAACATAAAGTAAATGACAAATTTTAACGTAATTACAAGACTTAATATTAAAAATGCTTTGAATTTTAAAGAGATAAATCAGTTTAGAACTGACTTGGAATGATTAAAACTAGGATACATTCACCTCTATCTATACACAAAATAGAGGGACCAAAATAAACAAAAGTAACACTTAGGGCCAAAGTTACCTAAAGTCAAACATAAAGTACTTTAAAGCCTACTAGCCTATTACATCAATCATCAAAGATAATTAGCGGCCATGAATATTCCAAAAGGTCTTCAATATGTGATCTTCAAGCAACAAAACGTCTGCCCAACAGGTTATTTCATTAAGCACTTCAAAAAAGGCCGAAAACACTTAGATCCCAGTTTCATATTAGACCTCTTTTGTCTTTATATAGAGCATATTGAATCGAACGATGTGGCTCCATACCCTGTAGCTTAGGTAGGGCGGAGGATTAATTTCAATTAACTTCCGCTTTACCTACAGGGGAGGTGAACTGAGTGAGAGCAGGCCCTCGCCCCTTTATCCAGTATGGGTTTGTGTTTCATTCAGAGATAACAATGTTATGTAGTAACACACTGAGAGGTCACCTGAAAGCATTTTAAATTCCTATGTTGTGCAAAGCTAATCATCTTATATATGACGTGTGAATGCTATAGCACCAAACAACCTGCAATTTATTCAAACTAGTTATCATATGGTGTGAAAATAAGTAAATCATACATTTAGCTCCATAAAACAATAAAAGGGAAAATAATGTAATAAAAATGACTCAAGATTACGATAAAAGGAAAAATAAACTAGCTAAAAATTATAAATTGATTGTTTTATACATTGAATACTTAATGCATATCAATACACACACACACACACACACACACACACACATATATATATATATAAGGTCAAAGGAAAACCCCAAAAGATGAAAAACTGAAGAACCTCTGATAATCGTTCATATGGACGGTATGCACATGTACATATAAGTAATTTGTAAGCAATTTATCAGGTATGCACATGCGTATAACATGTTCTCGTGCATAAAACCAAAAAAACAACTTCAATTACTTGTATACACATATGCATGACGTTCAGGTGAATGGTAACCAAAGTTTTTCTCAGTTTTTCATTTTTATGGTTTTCTCCTGAACCTCCATAATATATATAGATATATATATATATATATATATATATATATAGAGAGAGAGAGAGAGAGAGAGAGAGAGTTCAATTGTAAAATGATTTTCGATTATTAACCGAAGGATAAAGGAGACCGGGACACATATCCCCAATATCTACATTCAGTTAAATAATAAAGCTGAACGTTAATTTATACTCAAGGGTACTCGCACAATGCAGCGAGATACATCTTGATTTTAATATTTCATTTTATTCTTTATTTTAGTCGATGTTATAATATGGTATTACGTGATTTTGAAAAAGCGGTGATATTTTTATTTTTGAATAAAATATAAATTTAAAGATATCATAAAAATTTGACTAAAATATATTGATATTAATATCAAATTAACTATTTAAAAATTTTCATTTTTTGTGTAACTTTTTAATTATAATTTAATTTAGGTTCAATAACGAAATAATTTATATTTGGTTTAATAATATAATTTTTTAATAAAGATAATAATTAATTATTTTGTTAGAACTCGATAATTATTATAATTATATTTTAGATTTTTTATATTTTAAAATGAGATGTTTATTCTCTATTTGATTATGTTATCTGTAGTTAGTTACACGATTTCAAACATGGAGCTTTAATAAGTTGTATTTATGCATAATTTACTTGTAATCTTGAATTTTAAGTAATATGCATCAATATACAGTATTTTATGCATAAAAAATAATTTTTAAGAATTTTTGTTAAATATTTTATAATATAATATAGATAATGAAAATATTAAAACTAATTCAAATAAATAACGATCAAAGATTACTTATGAGATGTGACATGCACTATAATAACGAAAGCGAACATATGGCGCACGTAAGCGGGGCCCAAGTTGCATGATTTGGGGGGGGTGACTTGATACACACATATATAAGTATGGGCCTCTACCCCTCTCATCAATCATTCCTAATTTAATATTTTAAACTAAATTATTTTTTTTACTTATTATTAAATGAGAAAAGTCTAAAAAAATTCAATGGACTTTAGTGTTTGGAATGATTAAATCTTTGGACAATTTTTTGGAACAAACAAGTCATTGGACATTCCAAAACATGTTAAATAACTTATTAGACAATTTTTTGGAACAAATGAGTCATTGGATATTCTAAAACATGTTAAATAACTTTTTAGACAATTTAAAACATATTAAATAACTTATTGGATAATTTTTTGAAACAAATAAGTCATTGGACAATCCAAAACATGTTAAATAACTCCTTGAACTTTTCTAAAACCTGTTGAATACATTCTTATGACTTGTACAACTAGTTAATGTGGTAAAATAGTGAAAAAAGTCAAAAAAAAACTCAATGAACATTCATATTTTGAACGATTAAGTCCCTAAACATTTTTTGAACAAAAAATGATTTAAATCTATAAAATTAAACAAATATAACAAAAAAGTACTTACATTTACAAAAAAAATAATTACATTTAAAA